CGTCAGCCTTCCTGCTCCTATGATGCTGCTTGGCCTGCTGTGTTCATCCAGCTCTACACCTTTTCCTTTCAAGTTCTACCCTTTTAAAGGCAGTGTCCATTTTTCTCATTTTCAGTCCAAAATTTAAAAATATAAAGACATGGTTTCTTAATGACAACTTTTAGTTGAACAAATTCACAGCTATATCAATGTAAGTCACATCTTAATCAATTGACATTTTCATCCTGAGTCCTAATATTAAACATACACCCTTCATAACGTATGTTCAGCGACTGTTCAAGGCTTTCACAACATCTTCAAGCTGCTTTTTCTGTTCTTTGGAGAGATTTACAATGAAATATACTTTGAAACTGACTGCTTTTCATCCACCCAATTGTGAAACTTGGGCTGATCAACCAAATCTGTTGTAACTTCATAGTTTTGCCATTGTAAGTGGAAAAATGGCAGTTCTCCTTCATATCACCTTTCATTTTGACTGGTGCTAGAAGAGGAACGTTTGCAGCCATTGTCCCTTTCTGCTGCTGTTTGCTTCTTTGTTCTTATTTTTCTGGCTTCCAATGAATTTTAGCAGCTCTGGGCATTCCTGTATATTCCCTTTTAATACGGATGCTTCTATACAGCTCTCAGCCCAATCTCAGCTTCGCTCTTACACCATGTTATGAGCTTGTAGGCCAACAACCTAGCTTGCACTGTATTGTTATTGATTGGATATAAGATAGATGCCTGCTGTGAGTGTTTCATGATAGTGATATATAACTACAGCAAGCTAGGAGGTGCATTGGTACAGTATTACATTTCTATCCCAAACGTTACACAGGTTCAAAACATCATGTTATCAAATATTCAGGACTGTTTCCAACCAGAGTTAGCTACATCAATGCAAACACTCTTTCTATGAATGTGATCCCTATACTAACTAACTGGGTAAGGTTTTATGGTCTCCCTCAACCAAAAGAATAAGAATAAGGCAAACACACTGGAAAGGAGTGTCCCACTTAATATCTGAATGAAAGTGAATAAATAATAGGCTTGGGCAATGGTGAGATGTGTAAGAGAATCAGATGACAAGACCAGCAACACTCATCTTGGCATCGGGAGCAATTTGCTCCACAAACAAGCTGCCTGATGAGATTCTCACTAAACAATAGTGAGTTGCCAATTGCTGGTGATTATTACTTGTTCAACTGCTTGTTGATGGCACAGATTGCCTTATTAATTTTCAGCCTATCAAACAAGCTAGTTATTGGGAAGCCCCGACTTGAAAACCAGAGTATGTACCTGACAGATTCAGCTCGCCACTTTCTCTGTACAACATCCATGTTGCCTAGAAATGAACTGCAACCCAGGACATGATCCACTGGCACCAGCCACATGCACCCTTCCTCTACAGACATTGAAATGCAGCATCCAGAAAACCCTGTTGACCATCCTCGTACCTCTTACATGCACTGGAAGTTCAGAGTTGCATTGCAGGGCATCCTGGCAAATACCATTGAAAGGCTTCAGCAGGGATACTTTGTGCACTGGCACCCAGCTCGCAGATTGGACCAGATTGCATCATGGCTGCAGGTTTATTTTTATAGCACTCAGTCACCTTGCCTTTCCTTGCTGTGCCAGACAATATCAATTAGCAGTGACAATCAGCAGTCCTTAATCAAAGGGGGCACACATCTTGATATGTACTACCTCTCCACGTGCCTGCAGCTTATGCACATTACATATGCAGAAAGCAGGTAGCTATGAATTAAAGTCTTTGGGGAGTAGTCCTCACTGAAGTCCATGGAGGCACTCAGCAGTCAGGGGTTCCTGGCACAGTCAGTCAGTCTTGTATCCAGATAGGCTATATTTTCTGCTTGGCGCAAGTTGACGCTCCTTGTCCTGAATTTCCAAGGGTCAGAGGGGAGCAGGCAGGGTAGAGGTGGAGGGTTTGGCCACCTCCACAGTCACTTGAATGGAAACTGTTCAGCACCTTTGTGCACTTGCTCCTTCGGATGGCACCGCCCTGTTTCCTTGTGAGGAGGGTGCACCCGAACTAAAGTCATTGCTCTGTCCTCTTGTTATCATGCCTTCGGCCTGAGGGCCAATGGTAGGTCGATGGTATGCAGGTGTATGTGCCTTTCCACCAGGCCTTGAAGGTGATGGACCTGGCTCTCCATGGCAACGTACCCGGATGGTCCCATGATGTGGCTTCTGGGTGATGAAGGCCATTATGTCCCAGGTGCCTGTCTGCTACTGTTGTTCTGCTTTGTGCATTGAGTTGGTGGACTGGAGGTTGGGAGTGGTGAGAGTGGGGGAGGGGATGGTACAGTCTGGGAGTAGCAGAGCATGAACGTTGACAGGAGGTGGGTACAGTAGTGGGGATAAAGTGAGTGTGAGATAGCAGAGAGAAGAATATGGCACTTGCCCTGGAGAAGCAGAGAAGGGCACTTCTAGCTGCTCCTCAAACCATGGAGACTACACTAACCCAGACGGCCAGATTCAGGTGGTGCCAGTCCTCTGGGAGGAGGGCTCCTCTCCTCTGCACCATCCCCTTGACCAGGTTTCCAGGTCTCTGTCAGAGAATGACTGTGCCCCATTCTCCTGCTTCACTGTATTCTCTGTGAGGTGATGGCCTAGTGGTATTATCACTGGACTGTTAATCCAGAGACTCAGATAACATTCTGCGGATCCGGGTTTGAATCCCGCCATGGCAGATGGTGGAATTTGAATTCAATAAAATACTAACAATCTAATGATGACCATGAACCCTTTGTCAATTGTCAGGAAAATCCATCTGGTTCAAGAATGTCCTTTAGGGAGGGAAACTGCTTTCCTTACCTGGTCTGGCCTACATGTGACTCCAGACCCGCAGCAATGCCCTCTGGGTAGTTAGTGATGGGCAATAAATGCTGCTTAGCTAGTGACGCCCTCGTCCCGTTAAATGAATAAAAAAATTCTCACTCTGTCCTTCCATGTGCGGGCCAGCTTTGGAATGTCAGTGCTCATCAGGGTGCATGGCGGGCTTTTAAACATGGTGCGGATGTAAGATATGTCCTTTTTGGAAGATATTCAGGTATGGTGTGTGGTGAGACGGGTTGCAAATCCTGCGTGACAGGCACCCATAGACACTGGGTCGGTAATTAATACCGTGAGCGTGGTAACATACAGCGACACAACAGGCTTGGGCTCGCTCTGAAAAGAAACCCTTCAAAATATTCGATGCAACTCAATCTTAAGAGATAAAAAGACATTCAGCCCGATGTGTTTCGTAGCCTCAGAACTTCCCAAAATCACGCCACAATCCATAAGAACATTTTTTTTTCTGAAATGCTATTACACTTGTTATTACATTAGGGTTTGGGGACATACAACTGGTACATGCTGCCTGTATACTGGATATCGGATCACATGACCTCGGTCATCTGACATCTCCAAATTAAGATCCATAAACATAAACAGAAAATGCTGGAGAACCTCAGCAGGTTTGGCAGCATCTGTGGCAAGAAAGCGAAAACGTTCCGAGTCAGCGACTCTTCATCAGAATGTTCAGAACTGATGAACTGTCACTGGACTCGAAACGTTAACTCTCTGCTTTTCTCTCCACAGATGCTGCCAGACCTGCTGAGTTTCTCCAAAAAATTCTGCTTATGTCGGGGAAAACCAACGGCAGCCTGGGATTTGGATGAGGGAAAACAGAGTTGGGAAGAAAATTGATTTTTCTAATAACTAATAGTCACGCACTGAAATTAAATCGAGAATTAATAATACCGGGAACACTCAGATTTCCTTCAGTAATAATACGACAACCCACTGTTACTCTAAATGTTATTCAGTGGTAGTTGTATTGCACTTCTAACAATTGGTAATCCGAGAACCTATTGCTGTTCACGCTAAAACTACCGCCGCTTTTCACAGATCCGATCTCATTCCCAGTCTCAGTGGATCTGGTTCGAACTGTGACTGTGAAAGACCACGACTCTGAGCTGGGAATCCCAAACCCCAAACCAATCTGAGAGGTTACACAAAATTGGACTTGATGCTTGGGCCACTTCTCATAGTATCCTAACCTCAGATCAGCATCAACATGTCTAACGTAATCCCTGATGTCAGACTAAATAAAAGCTAATTTTTACAGAATGATAAAAATAACAGCACAATTGATCCCTAGCGCCTTTGGCAGCGCCATCGTTCACTGCAGTGTATCCCATTTCCCTGCCAGATCCGTTTATATTCCTTCTTTCGTAGTACATTAATTCTCTTAAATTATGTACAGGATTATTGCTTAATAACTACGTGTGGGCTGGGCTGGGCAGTGGAATTTAAAGCAATCACTGTTTTATATTCCCCCGGGTGTTTTCCAGTGATCCCTGCTGGAAAGCACATGCGCTTGTCTGAACATTCAATGGCAACAGCAGTGAAAGAGGGGTATCTGTGGAACTTGGAGAACACGGGCAAAAAAAAAGTGGGGATCCGCCCACGCCCCCGACCCTCCTCCCACAGAGATCTGTTCCTCAGCCAGGGTAACATGTGAAAGAGGAAGAGAGAACGACTGGCGTTGAGCTAGACTGAACAACAGGTAAATGCCCATTCTCAGTCACACCACATTAAGTGCATCAAGTAATATCTGATCGTTATAAATCTCATCATTCTCCGTCGTAACTGGCCAAAATTCAAATTCGGCTGTGAACAAAAACAGTTCTGAATAAAAAATATCTTTCGGAAGCAATAGTGTTTAGCTTTTCATCCTACTCCCCTACATCCCGTTCTCCCACCGTCTTCCCACTCAGCCGTTCCGCGGCACTTAACCCACGCCGGTGTTCTCTTACCCCCTTACTCTTCCCATCTGCTCCTCTACCTCCACTCTCCCTTTCTCCTTCATTCCTTTTTCCCCCTTTAGTCCATTGAGCTCTGTCTCTCATTTCCTTTCATTTTCACTACCCCCACCCCCATCCCCTTCCGTCCAACTCAGGATCCAAGCTTGCTTCCCATCAGGTCTATGGACTCGTCAATTTTACACCTTGTCTGTTATTATTCCAACAGTCACGATGGAGAAAGGCAATTCCCACCTAACCTGAGAACTCTTATTGGGTCTGTGTTCTGTTTTCAAAGAGGTTTCCTTACCTGAGTCCTTGCTTGGATCCAATGTGCGCAGACAATTATTACAGCTGGCTACAATATGACTTGACAAGAAACCTAGTACTTCTGAAGTTTACTGGTGAAGGTCTGTTCTGCCCATCTAACAAGTCTTGTGATCAGTAACAAATAGAAAGAGAAACTGCCCTTCAGATTATGGGACATGAGACACAACACAACACTGCCCGCTTCTATCTCCTTCCCAAAATCCACAAACCTGAATGCCCTGGTCAACCCATTGTCTCCGCCTGCTCCTGCCCCACCGAACTGATCTCCAACTATCTAGACTCCATTTTCTCCCCCTTGGTCCAGGAACTCCCTACCTATGTCCGTGATACCAACCACGCCCTCCACCTCCTCCAGAACTTCCAATTCCCCGGCCCCCAACACCTCATCTTTACCATGGACGTCCAGTCCCTCTACACCTGCATTCCCCATGCAGATGGCCTTAAGGCCCTCCGCTTCTTCCTGTCCCGCAGGCCCGACCAGTCCCCCTACACTGATACCCTCATCCGCTTAGCCGAACTCATCCTCACACTCAACAACTTCTCTTTCAATTCCTCCCACTTCCTACAGACAAAGGGGGTAGCCATGGGTACCCGCATGGGCCCAAGCTACGCCTGCCTCTTTGTAGGTTACGTGGAACAATCCCTCTTCCGTACCTACACCGGCCCTAAACCCCACCTCTTCCTCCGTTACATTGATGACTGTATCGGTGCCGCCTCGTGCTCCCACGAGGAGCTCGAACAGTTCATACACTTCACTAACACCTTCCACCCCAACCTTAAGTTTACCTGGACCATCTCTAACACCTCTCTCCCCTTCCTGGACCTCTCTGTCTCCATATCGGGCAACCACCTAGAAACCGATATCCATTTCAAGCCCACCGACTCCCACAGCTACCTAGAATACTCCTCCTCCCACCTACCTTCCTGCAAAAAAGCTATCCCCATTCCCAATTCCTTCGCCTCCGCCGCATCTGCTCCCAGGATGAGGCATTCCACTCCCGTACATCTCAGTTGTCCTCGTTTTTCAAGGACCGTAACTTCCCCTCCTCGGTGGTCGAGAACGCCCTCAACCGTGTCTCCCACATCTCCCGCACTCATCCCTCACACCCCGTCCACGCAATAAGAACCAAAAAAGAATCCCCCTCGTCCTCACGTACCACCCCACCAACCTCCGGATCCAACGCATCATCCTCCGACACTTCCGCCATCTGCAATCCGACCCCACCACCAAAGACATCTTTCCCTCCCCACCCTTATCTGCTTTCCGGAGGGACAACTCTCTCCGTGACTCCCTTGTCCGCTCCACACTCCCCTCCAGCTCCACCACACCCGGCACTTTTCCCTGCAACCGCAGGAAGTGCTACACCTGCCCCCATACCTCCTCCCTCACCCCCATCCCAGGCCCCAAGAAGACTTTCCACATCAAGCAGATGTTCACCTGCACATCTGCCAATGTGGTATACTGCATCCGCGTACCCGGTGTGGCTTCCTCTACATCGGGGAAACCAAGCGGAGACTCGGGGACCGCTTTGCAGAACACCTACGCTCGGTTCGCAATAAACAACTGCACCTCCCAGTCGCGAACCATTTCAACTCCCCCTCCCATTCCTCAGACGACATGTCCATCCTGGGCCTCCTGCAGTGCCACAACGATGCCACCCGAAGGTTGCAGGAACAGCAACTCATATTCCGCTTGGGAACCCTGCAGCCCAATGGTATCAATGTGGATTTCACAAGTTTCAAAATCTCCCCTCCCCCTACCGCATCCCAAAACCAGTCCAGCTCGTCCCTGCCTCCCTAACCTGTTCTTCCTCCCACCTATCCCCTCCTCCCACCTCAAGCCGCACCTCCATCTCCTACCGACCAACCTCATCCCGCCCCCTTGACCTGTCCGTCCTCCCTGGACTGACCTTTCCCCTTCCTAACTCCCTACCTACACTCACCTTTACTGGCTCCATCCCCGCCTCTTTGACCTGTTTGTTTCCTCTCCACCTATCCTCTCCTCTATCCCTCTTCTATCCGCCTCCCACTCTCTCCCTTTTTATTTCAAAACCCCCTTCCCCTCCCCCTTTTCTGATGAAGGGTCTAGGCCCGAAACGTCAGCCTCTCTGCTCCTATGATGCTGCTTGGCCTGCTGTGTTCATCCAGCCCTGCACCTTGTTGTCTCGGATTCTCCAGCATCTGCAGTTCCTACTATCTCTTCCATCTATGGACTCCATTTACACAGCTCGCTGCGTTGGAAAGGCTGCCAGCAACATCAAAGATCCTTCGCAACCAGTAATGATCTCCTATAATCTCTTCCGTCAGGCAAAAGGTGCAGAACCTGAAAACATGCACCAGCACGTTCAGGAACAGCATTTTCCTTGCAGTTTTTAGGCTAATGAATGGACTCTCTAGCCTCAAATAATGCTGATCTCAATAACATTGATCTCGTCCATGGCACGCCCTGAGCAATGTAACCTGTATATCTCTGTCTATGTCTTTTTGATCTGTACATCCTTGCTTACTATTATCTGCCTGTACTGCCCATCAACAAAGCTTTTCACATGACAATAAATCAATCAGTCAATCAATCAAACATTTATTGATTACGGTCTACAGACAGGCAGTACACATAGAATACATTAATGCAATTACCTCATCATTTAAAAAGCAGGTGGGCTAAATGCTGTGTTTAAAATGAAAAGTTATAAAAAATAAAAGCAGAGCTTTTCTACAGAAGAAACACTTACATTTATTTATTATAGTGCCTTTCACCACCATTATGTCATAATGCTTTTCAGCCAACGACATACTTTTTCAAGTGTCATCACTGTTGTAATATGGGAAACCAACTTGCACACAGCAAGGCCATGTAACAATAATGTGATAATGACCAAATAACTTTTATTCTCATTAGTGAGATATACCTATTTCCCAGGATGAAACTCCCTGCTCTTCTTTGTATAACAGCAAATTTTCTACATCCACCTACAGGATAGACAGGGTTTCAATTTAACATCTCAACTGAAGGTCAGCATCTCTAGCAGTACAGCACTCAGTCATCCTAGTTAGGTTAGTCTAAATTGCTTGGTCATAATTTCTAGTGTGAGATGTGAGCCTACAACCTTCTGATTTAAAACCCACTAAACCACAGCTATTTGGCATTTTTAAAATCCTTGCAGTTAATATCTTGCCTTATGATTTGCTTCTATCGTCCTGGAGATGTGACAGTGTAACATTTACCCCAGGATGCTGAAGTAAAAGAACCCACAGCTGCCCACAGATGAACAAAGAAGCCAAACAGTCTACAAGTGATTTTTTTTTCCATCCACGAACATTAAGTAGATGCTGTTACACAGATGGTAGAGTGATCAACTCTAATGTCATGACTGACGCAGATAGTTCAAATGTCTGGTCCGCTTATCATTGGACTAAAATGCTCTGAGCTGAGAGGAGTTGGTTGATAAGGTTGTAAAACGGATCAGAGTTTTTAACTTAATCCCTGAACCATTCCACCACTTGCCTCCATGATCATGGGATGATGGGGAACTAGCTGTGCCACACTTTTCCCACTTCCATTTTTTTATTATCTTGGGAGGTATACTTTGTCAGTATAATAGTCAAAATCTGTCAAAATCATCAATTTGTTTCTGAATGTCCTAACTTTACAGTTTCAGCATAAGTGTCCACAGGAAGGGAAATGTCTATCTGATTAGCAGGTAAAACTGCTCCTTCACAAGCTTTTTTAGAACACAATAAGAATACAAATATTTCCAAGTGTATCAAGGTTATCTTCATTGTTCCATTGATCAGATTTAAGGTAACAAGTTGGAACCCTCTTCCATTCAAGCTCCCAATCCCAATTATAACACCCCAGTGAGATCTGTGCATTGATCTGAGAACAGTGCCAGAATATGGGTCTTTCCTGTGGCTAAGTAGATTCTCAGAAGGTTGTGGAGTCAAGAACTTAATTTTAAGGACTCAATTCAGGCTAATATTCCATGAGTTGGACATTTTTTAAATCAAAAGTTAAATTAAGGTTCCACTTAATGTCTCAGTGAATGTAAACAATCACACAGCATTTTTTGAAGGACAGCAAATGAGTTCTCACTAACCTCCTGACTGATACTGATAACAGCAGGGAAGAAGCTGTTCTTGAATCTGTCCGTATATGTACTCAAACGTTTATAGCTTCTGTCTAACGGAGGAGGGTGGAAGAGAGTATTACTGGGGTGGGAGGGGTCTTTGATTGTGTTGTTTCCTTTCCTGAGGCAGCGGGAAGTATGGATGGAGATAATGGATAGAAGGCTGGTTTGAGAGATGGACTGCGCTATGCTTCATGATTCTCTATAGTTACAAGCAGTCTTGGGAAGACCAGTTGCCATACCATGCTGTGATGCATCCAGATTGGATGCTTTCTATGGTGCATCTATAAAAAGAGTCTTCATGAACATGTCAAATTTCCTTAGCCTCCTGAGGAAGTAAAGGCATTGTTGTGCTTTCTTGACCATTGCATCAGTGTGGGTTAGACCAGCATAGATTTTTGGTAATCATCACTCATAGGAACTTGATGGTCTCAACCATCTCCACCTCAGCACTATTAATGCTGACAGGGGTGTGGCCTCCACTCCACTTCCTGAAGTCAATGACCAGCTCCTTTATTTTGCTGACATTGATGGAGGGATTGTTGTCTTTACACAATGCCACTAAGCACTCAATCTCTTTGGGTACTCTGTTTCTACGTTGTTTGAGATCTGACTTACAATGGTGGCATTTAATGGAGTTTGGGGAGAATTTGGCCACACAATCTTTAGTAGATAAGGAGTACAGTAGGGGAACAGAGTACGCAGCCTAGTGGGGCATCAGTCAAGTCTTCCATGGAAGATGATAGTTTCTGAGCTGTTATGACAATGGAAAAATCTGGCCAAGGATGAATAATGTATGTATTGTAAAGCTTTGGATTTTCTGCAGATGAAGGGAGATGATATCACTAAAGGTAAAAGGGGTTGAGAACAGAAGTAGGAGACAAGAAAACGAAGCCGAGGGTATTGGAGAATTTTTGGATTTGAAGTGAGGACCACCCGATGGAGAAACTTGTATCAAAGAAAAAGCTTGGGATTGACGGTTATGCGTCTTATGGTAATTTCATCAGTGGTTGTTCATAGTTCATGATGGAATGGCCTGCACATTATCTGTAGGAGTGAGCTTCATGGACTAAATAAACTTGTGTGCTTTAGGCTTCTAAGAATTCTTAATAAATGCAAGATGATAGACAATGTTAGATGATAGAAAATAGTAACTTAATTTGGAAATTCTACAAGATTTTAAAAGGATTAATTTGAACTGTGAATCTCCACTGAGAGCAAATGCTTCATTTCTTCTTAATTCAGTGTGCTATAGCCATAATCATATTCCTGCTTTAATGGAGTGGTTTCACTGTGCATGTAATGTGGCTGACGCAGAACTGGACTTTAACCACCCGAAACAGAAAATAAATGTTACACTCATTATAAAGGCATTAAAACAATAACGATTATGCTCTTTGGAAATTCAGCCATTGTCATAGTGTTTAGTCTCTGATGCATAAAGCTGTGTATTCAATCTTGACTCCAATGGATTGAAAACATGATCTGGACTGACACTTCCAGTGCAATATTAAGGAAATGGGTTCTGCATAGATTCCATCTGTCAGTTGTTTTGTTATTTATTTTCTTTCTTCTAATCAACCTGTTCAGATGTTTTAACACACCTCTGGAGCAGAGGCTGCTGGTTCAAAGACAGGGATTCTACCAATGCACCACAGCAGTACCCCTGCCTGGCATTCCCAGACTGTCTCCCATCCAAGTACGAACCAGGCCTGAGTCTGTTTACTTTCTGAGATCAGGTGTTTTTAGAATAGTATGGCCATAGGCAAAGCAATCATGAGACAT